TACTTGTTAAGGTTACGGATTGGTTTTAACATTATACGGGTTGATTGTTAAGGTTACGGGTTGCTTGTTTAACAATCAACTCGTAACCTTAACAAGCAAACCATATAACCTTAATAACCAACCCGTAATCTTAACAACCAACCCGTAACCTTAACAACCAACCAGTAACATTAACAACAAACGCGTAACCTTAACAAGCAACTCGTAACCTTAACAAGCAACACGTATAACCTTAACAACCAACCCGTAACATTAACAACAAACACGTAACCTTCATATTAACGGATCTTGAGGATCTCTCTGTCGGATTGTTAGGCTCTGAAAAACACGCTAATTGAAGAAAAATGTAAACTTGGACCTAACAAACAAGGTGAAATCTCGACATCACAATAACAGCAGAACAAGGACCAGTGAAGCAAACAAAATGCACCAAAACATCAAATCCAAGCTCGACGGGGGAAAAACGTGTTGATTCCGACAGAGAGATCTTGAGTGTTCTGTATATTTAGAGTAACTTTTAGACGATATAGGAAGTCTAGATGCACTATTTTTATGCATGTTGGCCCGCCCATCCATGTTAACGTCTTTAATAGGTAACCAAAATAAATTTATATATTTTTCAAGAACACTCGCTTTTTTGTAATAACTCTTAATATGGCAACATCTTTTAATTAATATGCATGGCACTATTCACAACATTTCTCAAGCTTCAAGCTACGTTCAGGAGTTTACATATTTCTTCAATTAGCGTGTTTTTCAGAGCCTAACAATCCGACAGAGAGATCCTCAAGATCCGTTAATATGAAGGTTACGTGTTTGTTGTTAATGTTACGGGTTGGTTGTTAAGATTATACGTGTTGCTTGTTAAGGTTACGGGTTGCATGTTAAGGTTACGCGTTTGTTGTTAAGGTTACCCCGTATAACGTTAACACCAATCCGTAACCTTAACAAGCCTGTAACCTTAACAACCAACGCATATTCTTAACAACCAACCCGTAACCTTAACAAGCAACCTGTATAACATTAACAACCAATACGTAACCTTAACAACAAACGCGTAACATTAACAACCAACATATAACCTTAACAACCAATGTAGGACATTCTAATGGGGGAGTAATTTTAACAAGCAACCGGTATATTTTTATTTGGGTTATTTTAAAGTTTTTTGGTGGTAATAGTTTTAGCGTTGGTAATTAGTAACATGCCCGCACCCATCATCATGGCCATCATCATCAACTTTCTCCTCATGGGCGCTCATCTCTTTCGCCAAAACCTCATCAAAATCAATCTTTTTACTCTTCAACCCCCTCTTCTACTTGCTGTTGGCCTCCTTCGATTCAAGGGTCTCTTCAAAGGCATCGAGGATGAGGTGGATGACATGGCGGTTGGGTGAGGCATCCCAACGAGCCCAGAAGCTCTTGTACCATCCAAAGCAGGAGCAGCCAAGGTTAAGGGGGCATGGTTGTAATTACTATCAATCTTGTCCTTCTTCTTCTTATTATTGTTCTTGGGTTGGGCGAGTCCTCCCGCACGCTCCCACGCTCCCACGAATAGGTCCTCCCACGCTCCCACTCTCCCATGAACAGGTCCTCCCGCACGCTCCCACGCTCCCATGAAACCCAGCTCACAGAGAATCATGAAGCAGTAAAACCTCAGTCGCTTGTTCCCGTCGGCTATGCAGCGCTCGTCGCCGGAGTTTCGCTCGGCCCTCGAGCGGACGATCTCTTTGTACTCCTCGAACCGTGCCGGGGTTTTCTCCGCGTTGTGGATCTTAAGGATGCTGTGGATGGCCGGAGCGACGATGGCAGAGAAGGTGAGGATGGCAGGAGGAGGGCGGCGGCGGCGGGTGGAGAGGTGGGGGAGGGAGGAGGGAGAGCAGAGGGATTGCAGGGTTAGAGAGAGAGAGAATGGGTATTATAGTCTTTCCCTGTGTGAAATTCATTGGGCTTTGTGTTTTGGGGGCTCAGAGAACAAAAAATTTACTTTTGGGGGCAAAGCACCCGTTGAAAAAGTCTTGGGGGTGTGAAGCTTGTTTTCATTCGTTTTGGGGGCTGGAAGCATTTTTCCCAAAGAAAAAAGATAAAACTTGCTATAGAGATACATACATATCCTCATCACATGCTACGGTAACTAATTATTCCAAAGCCAATAATACATCCCAGAGCTCGGAGGCAAAAAAACATCACATCTCCAAAAGGACGGTACTAAGAATATCAATCTGAATCCTTTACACCAGGCTTTATGGTTTCAAGCTTACATAACG